AGCCACACGCCGCGGGACAGACACACGCCGCGGGCCAGCTGCTTCCCAAGGAGTTGCCTCCTTTCTTCTGTAAAATAAGCTCAAATGCTTCTGTACAATACTTGCATACACTTCCAGGTCTGCCATTTTGAGGCCCTCCTCAGGTTCCCCCCGGGCTTCACAATATTCCTGGATGTTGTCACTGCAGGGTAGAACGCGAGAACCATTAGTTCAAATTTAATGAGATGGCATTGTCCTACTGTACAGGGACTGAAAGCTGACGGTGCCGTGGCCAACTGCATCAGTTCATCGCTCCAGCTTCTGAACCGCAGCGCGGTAAAGACTGGAAGCCCACAGGAAGTAATCGGGTCCAGACGTGCTGTACAGTTGCCCATGGAAAACTACTCAGGAACAGATACGTGTCTTCAAGCTCCAGACTGAACTGACATGCAAGAAGGCACTGGCTGGAAACTGAGAGCTCCTGCTCAAACTCTGGGCAAGACAGAAGCGAAAACACGGGTTGCAACAGTTTCAATACCACCCACCCAAGGCAGCCAGGACATCATCACATTATACACAAGTTGCCCTATTAATTGGGATAGTGGGAGCATGTATCACCCTGATGGGGCACAGAGATGGGAAGGCAGGACTGACATACACAGCACCCTCCAAAAATTTGGATGAAGGGACAGAAACTTAGATCTGGCTCAAATCCCAACTATTGCACCCTGAACACGTCACAACTCTTCATTCGTTGTATTATCACTCGCAGTTAGTGAATAATATTTGCATAATTCATAGGAGTAATATGATAAAATAAATATATACAGGACATGCTATAATCACAGAGATACCCAGATAAACATGAAATAATTTTAAAATAAATCTTTGCGGAGATTGAGAATTAAAACCCATCTCTTGTAATCTTAAAAGATGCTCAAAGGTCGGTAGCTTTTGAACGCGGACATTGTTGAAAGCTTTCCTTCTCCCTTTTCCCATCACCTTCAACAGAGGTACCTCACAAAGCAAAACAAACTGCAACACCTCAACAGAAACAGGGATGACAGGAGGAAGGAATGTTGTAACACGATTTATTAAAATCCGTTTATAAAACCCTAGGACCAGTTCACAAAGAAGAATGGAGGTCTCACCCAACACTTTGAAGATGGCAAGAAGGCTCCCCAGACAAGGTCCAAAGCCTTGAGATGATCTTTGTTGGAGGTAACAAGAGCTCTGTGGCACTCAGATTTGATGGTTCAGATCCTCTCTGGAGCCTTCTTTTTCTTCTTTTAACATTCTTCCCAGCCTATTTACACACCAGTACTCTGTGTGCCTACCACAAAGTAATTTTCACCTGCATCACTGGAAGCACGTAATTTTCATCCTAGACTGATAATACTTTCACAAATATTTGCTTCACCTCAACTAAAAAAAACCAACAAAACCCAAAATACAGTCTGAGGAAATATTTTGATCACAAAGTAAAACAAATTAGCAAACCAAGACTAGGATCTCATAAAACGAGAACTGGAATAGGAAAAAAACAACAGGTGGATATACTTAGGCGGTGAAAATCTTTGGATCCAAAAACACTGACAAAACACTGCAAATAAAGTAGCATCCTCCCCCTCCCTGACCCCAGGAAAGCCCAGCACTCCAAAATTTGCTATGATCAGCATATCTTAGGCACAGGATCTGGAGATAATTACCAGAAGGGCTGCTGGCAGACAGCAGGGTCCGTTCAGACAACATGCATTTGCCACTTCTTCCCGAATTTCAGAAGTCTCTCTTCTAGAGCAGTCTCTTGTATACAATTGCATGTCCAGTTGCACACCCTAGAGGTTGTGGATCCAAGAGGAACAGCAATATTCTCTTCAGGATACTTTCAGTTAATTAAATCCTTATTAAAACTCTTCACATGAAGTACCATTTAAATTAAAAACGTTTCAAGAGAGGGACCTGACAGAGGCATAGACACGACACAATGGTTACTGTTTAGAAAACTTGCATGTTACCAAATGAGAATCCACGACAAACTCAAATCTTCACATGAGACTACATGAAGACTTCACAAAAATGAAAATGTATGGATACTTTTTCCAGTAACAGGAATAACTGCTTATCATTTAGATGATATTCTGTAATTATAGGAAGTAAGTTTGGAAATATTGACTATTACTGATTCTAACATGAAATGCTGTCCAGATGCATCCATAACAGAACTGCACCTGTGCTACTGCTATAAACAGCAGTGACATTTTCTCCTTTCTCAGCATCCATGTTTGAACTACTAAAACAATCCTAGCAGAACACTTGGCATTTTTTCTATTCCCAAGTTTAAAATGGCAGCAGGAGTTGCTCTTGCACATGTCTGTTAAAGCCTCAGAGCATTAGTAGGCTGAGACTGCCTCTTGTCCGACGCACTTAAAGCCAAAGCAAAAACCATTAACATTTCTGGTATTACCGTTCCTTCCCTAGTGATGTGCAACAGACTCATGTCACACACATATTAGCCTTCAAAAGCAAAGCCCTGATTCCAGTTATAAAAATGTAATTGTTCATACTGCTCCCTCTTTGCAGGATATCTTCGTCATGGTCTCATTGCCTCTGTGGTTCGGACCGAGTTGATCATACTGATTTCAAATTGTTCCTTTCAGCTTTCACCCTCCACCCACAGGTCCTTGGTTTCTCTTCTCATTGGTTATTGCACCCTGGGGCTGCAGAAGAGGTGCCTGCCTGCTTCTGCTTCTTACGGCGTTTGTTCAGAAGGCGGTTGTTGGATGTTTTCAAGTCTTTGATTTTCACCTGATCATAGTCCACCCTCATGGTAGCCAAAGCACTGGTCATCTCCTCCTGAAACCAAGGAAGCAATTTATTGAACACTCTGAGCCAGAGAGCGCACAGCCACCCACACTACTGCCAGGAGATGGATGTACAAAAGAAACCCTCTGTCACACTATGGCCAGAAATAGCTGAGCCCTTTCTGCTGCACTAGACTATGACTAAAGGCTTCGTTCTACTCATGGGCTCATTCAGGAGGAACTATTCACACAGCGTTTCATACGTAAGCACCCAGGACCACACGCCGTTGGCCTAAATTCCACCATGTCCCTATGCCCAGCATTTCTTACCGGCTGGCTCTGGGCCTTCACCAGCTACTGAGCCTGGGCTGCTTGCACCAGAGTCAGAGCTCTGCTTTCCGTGCTCTGCTACCAACCTGGGTTAGCAGGAGCTAGAACAGAGTCCACACAAAGTTCTTTAAAAGTACGTGCTTCGAATTCACGTACCTCCTTAGTCTGAATTAATGTTTAAGTGCAGGCAAATTTTAAGCTTTTTAATAAAGCTTTGAGCAAAAATCTGCTTAAGTAAATGAATGTCTATGCATTTAGTTCAGGAAAGGAAAAAATTATTAAATATTATGGGAATGCCGGTGGCCCAAGGGAATATCTCTAAGACCTATACGAAGCACAAGATCTCAGAAACGTGGAAATGAAGAACACTAAGTAAAATTATCTGTTTGATCTCTGACTCAGGAGGCACATGTTGCCTAGGTCCTACGAAATGTTACCATTACATAGTTCAACAGCTGAGACTACACATCAGTAATTTAAATAAAATCAGTAATCAGTAAAATACACTACAGGAATGTTGCAATTATCAAAATGGTATGCATTGTAAGCGCAAAAAATTCAGAATTAATTGTAAAAGCATGCCAACCTGATAAAGGCCAGCAGGAAAGAGTTAAACTTGCAAACAACTTTTAGTCTGCCCTATAGTTTCTCTTTGCAGGAAGCATTCAACTGTCATCTGTACAAACAGTAGGTGAGGCACCTGGTTAGATTAAGGGAAAGACAGATATATTTTTATCTCCCCTCGCCAAACGTCACAACAAGACAAAGCTAAGCTTATTTAATGCTGGTTTACAATACAAGAACAGAATAGAAAACCAGACTGCAGCTCAACACTCCCACCCTGTCCCCGTACGTTTTCATCATGCTCTTCGCTTCGCTATAATGAACTCCGAGCTCCCTCAGCACTGTCCCTTCTCCTCTGTGGTTACATCCAGTGGCTCCGCAGGTAGCATCCTTAATAACTTTGATCATAAACATCATCTTTGTTGGTATTTGGCACAGTTGTAACGCTGCTGGATGAAGCTCAAACAGCATTCTTCTTTTTTTAAACAGCTATCACATGCACTACTGTTCTAACCGAGACTGTTTATGCTTCCCTTGTTTAACATGGTTGTATTCAAAATAGCCATCATCTCCAAGGAAATAGGCATATGCAGAGAAGACAGCCCATCTAATCTCTTACCACACTTGACTTCGAGAAATCTGAACTATGATCGACTCACTTTAACTTCATCCCAGTGGTCTTTATCCTCTTGCAGGACCCGTGCAGTATGAAGAGGTGTTGGTGGCACTGCCATTGATCTCTGAGAAAAGGGAAAAATACCAAAAGAAGTGTTTTGCAAAATTGCGTTCAGGAAGTGACTGTTTGCTCTTCTGTGTGTATGGAGGACATAAAAGTTTAGCTAATGTCCTTCAGTGGCCCTCATCATTCATGCTTTCAGTCAGTCCGCAAGCTAATTCATGTGTGAGGTAGAAAAGGACTATAGTCCCCACATGACAGTATCTTTAAAAAACAAATGGAGAGAGAAACCAGAGCTGAGTTTCATAGACTCATAGAATGGTTAGGGTTGGAAGGGACCTCAAAGATCATCTAGTTTGTGTCACTCTTCTCCCTTCCAGTCCAACCAATAACCCTGTGGTGGATAAATTTTTATGTACATTTTAGATTTTAACTGTCATTTCATTATTCATTAGTCAGTGTTTCAAAGTGGTTAATTTGACCTTTATCTTCTAGGATTTGTCATAGGAGAAATTTTCTTGTACATATACATGAATTGAAATTTCCAGTTTATCAGATCGTAAGTGTGCCCCAAAGAGGAAATTACACTATTTATTGTTCAGTGTAAGGCATAGCTTGGAAGACAGCGCATCGCTTGAGTTGCTCTTCCACATAAAACAGAGATCTTTGCTCACCTGCCATGAAAGATCAGCAGATACTTCAAATTAGAATGAGGTACAATTTCTAAAACACGGAGCACAGTTCCCTAGCTAAATTCACTTGATTCAGCAAGAATCGTAGTGTTTCTTGCCAGCCCATAACTCAAACTATAAACTCATATTCTATCTCCCTTGTAGTTTCTACTCAAACTTGCTGTCTACTGCTGTGGTGTCCTACACCAGACACAGCTGCATGTCAACAAAGTCTAAGGAGGTCTCTGCATATGTCGTTGTGAAATAAGCATTACATGGGAAGCAGTGCTTATACTCCACTGAGCTAAGAGCACCATTGCAGAAGTGGCAGCAGAAATGACAACTCCTGCGTCCTCTGGAAAAGGACTCTAGCTGGCCAGGGTGTGGTTTTATCAAGCACAGCTGGGATACGGGAAATGGAAAACCAGCAGACTGGCTTTAGTGATGTCCCTGTTGAAGTTGCCCTCCTATCTGCTGTGAGCTACTCCTCGTTAAATAAACCTTATCTACAAGCTAACTAGGGGATTATGTGCTCCACCTAAACTGACAATTTTTGCATAGTCCACAATGGAGAAAAAAAGAGGAGACAAATACCCTCCTCCACTGCTTGAGCAAGGCATCTCCCCATACATGTTCCCACTTACAGATTCAGGAAAACAAAAGGAAGAACACAGACATTCACTATGTTGGTCTTTCCCTCTCCCTCTCTCTGCCTCATGGGAACAATAGGTTTAGCAGAAAATGCCAATCTGCAGCTCCTGGACCTTTCTCCCAGGAACCGTATTCTAGCACGGCTCTTTGGTGCAGCAGAGTCTATAGATCTTGTCTCTAATCTCCTCCTTATTAATAGGTTATACGCATATTTCAAGTAGCATGTGTCGCTGTAGGTGGTAGCTTCCTTAGCTATTAGGCACTCATCCTGTGAAATTCATCGCCTGCTGACTTCTGGAACACCTCCTTCTTGGGTCTTCAAACACTTAAAGCTGGAGGCATTTATTCTGAACAGTGATTACATTTTTATTTGGTTAAAAAAGACTTAGAAACATTGTCTAGGTTCTGTTCCAGTTCTACAGACTCTTTGTTACCCTAATTTCTCAGCTTTCACAGCTCAATGAAGACACCTATCTGCTCCATCAAGATACTGTACAGCTACATTTCTGTACAATTCTAAGGGCCTCCAGCTCTTCGAACAGGCATTACAGAAATGCTGACTACTAGTCACGCCTCCGTTTCTGCCCTGTCTTCTGAGGATCAACACAGACGGAGGGAGCACTATGAGAGAATCGGGCATTCTACAGTACAAACGAATCTGTTCCTGGCTGATGACTTTTTGGGCAGCAAGAACAAGACTGGTGTCCTTTTAGGCACAAACATGAGAAGTATAATCTATTATTTTAGGCGACACCTAGAGAGCAGAGATGATCCTGAAACTCAGCCTGATCTCTCATGGGATTCTTGTCTTTTTTTAAAAAATAATTAATATTATATTATTCGAGTGGTTTTTTTTCCTTTTTCCCCAAAAAGTATTTTTTAAGGAAAAGTAAATTCAACCAAGTTGTGGAATGAAACCTGAACTGCGGCCGTTAACAGCTCTGTGTGCCACCCTATCTGGCAGTCTCTTACTGGGCACCCAGCCGAGACCCTTGCTCCGCCCCCACACATTTCCATACTCTGCCAAGCATGAGAATTCCCACTAAGCATAGGACTGTGTTCACACTAACACAGCTATGCACAACGGTGCCTGAGTCCACTAATAATAGCTCTCTTTAAATCCTGCACCGATGAAGTAAGTACATACAGTTTATTTTTGTATTTTTAAAGAGAGTAACACATGCATATGCTGCAGAGTCAAGAGTGATGCCTGCTCACAGACAGACACATTCCCAAGGACACTATTGTGGGTGTCTCTCTGTGTGTCCTCTGGTAACACCAAGAAGAATTGGGGTTCTACAGGCAGATGACTCTGTGGAGTGCACAGTAGGTTAAGTTATTAACAGTAATCCTTCTCTTGCTATGCTGTGTGGAGCTATATGTAAGTTCCGCATGTAAGAATTAATCTTGCTCCCTTGTAAAAAGAGATGTGAAACTCACGTTAATCCAAGGGTGATTCATAAATTGAGAAACTGTCATCCTCTCTGTTGGGTCGGTCTTCAGTAAATGGCGAATCAGTTGTTTGGCTGAAAAACAGGACCAACACAGCACATTGCAGTCTGCTACTGCATTCCCAAATAACCTTCAGAACACAAAGATCTGCTGAATGAAGAAGGGTAATTTTGCAGAACTCCAACACCCACCTATTGCTGTTATCATGTTAAGAAGCCATGCACAGTGTGGTAGGTTATTATGTTGAAAGAGGCAGAACATGAAAACATCCAAAACGAGGTAAGAAGGACAGACAAAGGATTGGGGATTCCATCTATGCTATCTACATCACCAAACCAACTGTTTTGAGAGCAAGAACTTGAGAAAAAGAGAAACATAGGAACAGAAAGCTGTCAAGCTGCCTGGCTGAAAGATGGCGAGAAGCTTGGCATTATGGGCTGAATGAATGCATAAGCTCATGTTCTGAGAAATTATAGATGACAAAAACTATCTCAGGCTGTTGGGAAAAAAAAAAGACAATAAATTTATCTTTGATAACTGAGAGGTTTCTAAAAGGACAAAAGAAATGGATTGTACAAACAAGCTTTGTAGCAGCTTTCTGTGAAGACAGTATCTGCCAAAGCAAGAGTACTAAGTAACTGAGATATGAGATGACAAGAGTCTGGACAAGTGTTGTATTAATGCAGGCAGACAGACAGGAAATGCTACATCCAAGGAATGTTATTTAGAAAGACTTAAACATAACTTCCTTGAGGGAACCTAGAAGAACTTCTGAATAAGAGTTCTCTTTTAGAAACATTGAACGCAAGATGACTAAAGGCTTGTAAGAAGCTGCCAGAAGTACAAGTTGAGGCTTCAGTTTGTCCAGAGAGGCTGCAAATGAAGGTTGCAGAAGAGATTACCTGGAACCTAAAGTGTACAAGGAAACAAAAGGAGAAGACCACAAACAGAGCCCATTAAGATTATTACAGGAAGCTGGTGGGGAATTTAGAGGAAGCCTCCATAGATGATGCAATGAAGGAATGATTAGATAAAGAAAACTATGACAAGAACAGTATAAAGGAGGGCAAAAAGCAGCAGTCTGCTGAAGGTGCCTGATCAACCTAAAAGAATGCACATAAACTAGTTGATCTTAATAGATCCAAAGGTAGAGGAGGTGCCTATTTCATTCAGGCAAGCACACAGGAACTCTACAGATTTTCCAAGCAAATGTTCTCTCACCAAGCTCCCCCAGCATTTTAATAACTACTGTAATATGAAAAAGACCCAAGGCAGACAAAATATTAAGGCAGCAACTCATAGGTAAAACATCTTTCTTATTCATGTTCAGTAGTCCATGCTGCACACGCAACCGTGAGATCCAATGAGGGGTTGCAGTGCCAAGGATCACAGTATTATCCCATGATAATTTGTTGGGGCTAAACAGCAGACAAAAATAGGATGCTGAAAACAGCAACATAAAGGGCTTGTTACAAAAAAAGATGTGTCCAGAGGTTGCTGACCTTCTCTAATATGACAGGCAGGGGAGACTTCCAGCTTACGAGACTGTCAGAAAAAGAGGGAATCAAAACCATCCACTTTCAGGACACTCGTTTGAGCCCATCCAGGTCACAGCTGAACAGCAGCTGCTTTTGGTCAATGACTTCTACAAAATAAATTGTTGACCTTTATTTAAGTGGTGGCTGGCAAGTTCCCACATCACAAAAAGCTAGCAGGAAAACTTGCCATCCTTGCTGGCTGGCTGACTGAGGAGGGCAAAGACTGAATGAGTTCTTCAGACAGTTTGCCTTTCTTCCAACTCAGCTCGCATTGCAGCTGTCCTGGCAGTCTCCTCTCTCAGGATTAAAGACTTTTGTCTTCAGAGGATTTAATCTCAGCATTCACTAGCATTAGCTGGAATTTGAAAGAAAGTTTTCAGTAGCCATTTACTTTCTGTAGTACTTGGGTTGCTGGCTAGAGTTTGAGTTCCTAGTTGTTCTCTGCGTCAGCTTACAAAAAATTAATTTAAATTCTAAAAAAAAAAGGAAACAAACACTAAACCAGTTTTTAGAAACAGCCTCTTATAGGCACTTTACCTATGCACACCATGTGCATACTCATCAGTAGCAGTGAGAATTGTTACCTTCCTCTGATACTTCAGCCCACTCTGGATTGGGAAATCCATATTGCCCCATCCGAATTCTTCTCTTCATCCCTGGAGAAATGGCTTGACCAGTGTTTGAGTAGAATGGAGGGAACCCACACAAGCTGTAAGAGTGGACAAAAGAACTCTTATAACTAGGAAAGTCCTTTCATCTCTTAAAAAGTCCCATACAAGCCTACATTCTTTTGCAGGTTACATGATCCTAGTGACTAATTACTTCTAAGTGCAGATTTACTAAAATGGGTCCTTTTTCTGTACATCAAACCTCCTTCCAAATACTTACAGAATATACGTGATGACACCCAATGACCACATGTCACATGATTTGTCATACTTCTCAGGACCAAGGACTTCTGGGGCTAAAGAGGATTAAAACCAGAAATTAACAGAGTACCAGATATTTCTTTTCATATCCATCACCTTATAAGTAGCAGCACACTTCAACACCAAATATCAGAGGCATTAAAAAAGCGCAACTCACTGCAGGAACTGGGAAGTATTTTCTATAGTCAAGTTCCTAACCACATCCAATAATATAGCTTTAAAAAGGAGGAACGGAGCTGGCAAAATGCCCTGCTCTTCACCTTAGTGTCTGTCTGCTCAAGAGAGTACTAAGATTACAGAAAAGCAGAAGGAGCTATAGCTAAATGTGTACAGAGAGGCACGGCACTGAAAGAGGCAGGAGCATATGTTCCAGAAATCAGAACAGAAAAGACCTACTTGAGCTGTGATAAAATTTTGATTGGTACCTGGGTAGAATGTGTTTAACTGCAGCAACTACAGTGCAATGTATTTTTCTTTGGCCTCCAGAGCATTATTTTTTTTTCACTAAGTAACAAAATTATAGAGAGATACATTTAGAGGGGATTTTTTTTTTTCCCCCTGGGGCAGGTGAACTGCAGGGAGCTTGATGTTGTAAGGAAAATGATTCTCTAAACATATGAGCAATCATGCTGGTTTATAAAAAGGTGTTGAGAAGGGAAATGTCAGCCTGTTTATATACAAATATAAAGGCATAAAAACATATACGCATAAATTCCTTAACATTTTATCACTAATCCCAGCTTACAAAAATATAGAAGAAAAGCATCAGGGAAAAAAATTGCTGTCATAATTCTCTGCTAACAATGAATAACAGTATGTCTCAATACAAAAAAACTATAAAAACTTACATTGTAGAAGAGAACTAATTCTTCCAAAAAATTAAGCCCTTTTTCCTCCAAAGAAATTCCAAGCGCAGACTGCCTCAGTCATACCATATGGCGACTGACTATTAACTCAGAGACCAAAAGGGACATACTCGAAAATGAATGCATAAAGAACAGTCTACCATGGCATTCATTACACAGTGCTCTGTCTTCGGAGAAAATGCAGGCAAAAATTCAGTTATGATTAAGTCACAATGGTGTTTTATTACTAACTCATCCATTTGCCAGCCTTAAGAAGCTTTACAGCTGAGGCAATACTCTCCCTGTTCTCTTTCACTGCATTAGTTGAGCTAGAGGAAGTTTTGCAAGGAAACATCCAAATAATCCCAAAGTTGAGTTCAAATTATGGCTTTTATTGCATCATTCAGAGGAAACATCAGGATTACTTAAGTGTAATCAGAAGCAACATGTTCTTTCTCCTTGATCCTCATTTGCATTCCCTGTTAAGGCTCTGCAACCAAGGAAGAAAGCAGGAGCACTGAACTGTACTGGAACCAGACTAGGTTTGGGTTGGACGCCAGTTTGAATTCTGCAGGCTACCTCTTTGCATTACATCCACAACAGAAGATTTCCCATCCATTCCTACAGTTCCCCAGCCCACTGTAACGGGAGGGATGACAGACTGAAACACAGAAGAATTGCATTTTGGATAACTTACCAACATAATAAGGAGTGTAACAGGGGGTCTGCAGTGCATTTTGCACAGTGGTTTCTTTGGCAAAGCCGAAGTCTGTGAGTTTGAGCACTGTATCCTTCTCTTTAGATGTGTAAAGTAAATTTTCAGGCTGAAAGACCACCAAGAAAAAGGATAAACTGGACAGTGAAGAGATGTGTCTCATGAGCAGAAAGGTCAAATGATTCCCACTTGCCTGGATCACCACCAGCACCTGGGTCTTGTTACTCCTCTCACATCCCCACCATACCATGCAGAAAGTTCCCTCCCAGCACGCAGCATTTTCACTCAGACTAAGGATCAACATCCTTCTCAACATGGTATTTAGGAGAGCCAACCACGACTCTCGTCAGGTCGGATAGGCACCAAGCCCGGCTTCTTGAACCTCTCTCTAGGTCACTGCACTTACTAGGACTGGTCTGTCTGATCACCACCAGCTGATCTGACAGCACTCTGTACCGCTCGTAGCTGAGGTGGAAGACAAAGATATCATCAGTCAAACTCTCTATGAGCAACTGACATAACTCCATCAGAATTAACTGATACAGACACAATGCCCTTCCTCATCCCCCTCTACTCTGCCTCCTGAAACCTGAGTTAATTCCATTCTGCTCCACGCTCCATAAAGGCTCTCCAAAACCAGAAGTGGCACAGAGGGAACAAGAAGCATGAGGAGAATGGCACATCTCCAGAATCTGCAATTGTTTGAACTTGTTTTCCAGTTTCTCAGTCCTAAGGAAGCTATGCTCTCATGCTAGTGTTTAGGGACGTACAGAAGGAAGGAGAGGCTTGAAAGAAAACAGGATTTAGGATCTATCAAGCAATTTGAACCATTTCTATGTTAGTTCACTGAGCGTGTGTGTTTGGAGCTAAGCGCTTCTGTGCTGGCAACAGGCAATGGCACATAGCTCCACAAAAGTGAATAGGTTTTTAGTCTCTGAATTCTCCAGTTCCTACTTAAAGAGCCCTCAAACATACCCCTCAGTGACACCAAGCAATGGCAGTTCTCCCTCCAGCTAAACACACAGAAGCATCTGTAGAAAACACACAAACTCAAAACTGTGGAATCAATCAGAGACCATTTTCCCAAATACTTTCCTATACTATTAAAGTGGGTTGGATTCATGGAATTGGTCTTATTCCTCCCATACATGCAGCTTCTCCTATGTCTGAAGGAGGTTTTGGTGTTTGGGGTTTTTATTTGTTTGTTTTGTGGGCTTCTTTGTTTTTTTTTAAGCAAGTACAATTCTGAAAACAACTAACAACTGGCAAAGACTGTACATAGAGGTACAGCATCTAGTGTAAGATCACTTCAGGCAGTGCTATTTTCTTGTTAATTAACTGAACTGCAAGTTGATAGTAGCTCTTTAATTAACCATCTGACTATCACCAGATTCTTCTGCATTCGGTACACAACTGGAAGACACTAGTGCATGTGAACATTCTGACCTTGGACTAGTTGCAAACTAGTTGCAAACAGAGCCTTTCTCACACTGGCACTTTGACCATCTGATCGCACTCCTGGTTCTGCTTAAAACGCCACTGCCCATTTATTTTTCTGCCTTATGCTCTTTTCTCCCTGCCCACACACCTTCAGGCCTCACCTTGACGTCTCTATGGGCAATGTTCATTGAATGCAGATACTGGATGGCTGTTCCGATGTCTCTCATTATCTCAGAGGCCTCTATAAATACAATTTTAAAGAAAGGTCACATTAACATTCCCACTGCAACTCAGGGACATGCTTGGGAATGCTTATAACTTACAAACAGCTCGCTGGAATACAGGGCTAGTGTCAAGACTAGAAAACCTAAAATTAGCCCTAACAGCTGTGTTTTGGTTTTGCAGGCAACCATAGCCCCCCAGTTCCCTGGCTGCTCAGCTCTCCTCCTGAGCGGGCCTTGCAACTGAACAGTTGAGATTCCTACTTTTTATGAGTTTGTAAATTTTTTCTTTAATTTGCCCAACAGAAAAGCAGCAAGAGCAGAGTAGGTACCCCAGCAACATGCAAGACTGTGGAAAAAGAGACCCCAACCAGGACACATCCCTGATTGTGCAGGACAGAAGTTTAACTTTCAGCTTCTAGTTCAGGGGTAATAGGAGGATCTAACAGATTTTCTAAAAATACAGCAACATAACAATATAGTAATTTTAGGATAGGTCACATCATCATTCCTCACTGTCTTCAGAAGCGTTTCCTCAGGAGAAACAAAATCAACAGTTCTATTCTGCAAAGCCCAAACTGCCACCTTTGAAATAATACGTTTCTAAAATTTAACGTAACCCCAGTGGGAAATTCTAGTGGTTGGTGAGCTGCCTTGCAACAGCAGTACTCTTGAAGTCTGGAAGAGTTCAGTTACACAGGGAGAGGTTTCGGAGCAGCGAGGAGTGACATTCCTCTTGTACCAACTGAGCATTATATCACATCTCCATTGACAGGAAAACAGAATTAGCAGCTTCAGCTTGATCCTCTGTTTTCTGCAAAGGTAGAAACCTCAGCTGCAGTGGTGAGAGAGAAGGTAGAAATTCTTCTGCTGTAACCTGGAATCTTTTTTCACATGGCTTGAGACTGAAATTACACAATCTCAGGCAAGGACAATCAGAAGGCAGAAACACTCATCCTCTTTGGGGAAAACCTTGCACAACCTCCTCCTTCCTGACCCAGGCCAAAAACCCTCGCTCCTAATGAGAAGTTGTGGCTGATACATAAACAGCCAGTGAACCTGGGGAATCCAGTGGAACAGGGCTCATTTATCGCAGGAAAGAATGAAGGTTTGGGTTTTTTTTTTAACACTCCCAGATGGTTTCTGAGTAAGTATTTAGAATGTTATACAATGGTATTTAACGTAGAAAAATCATGTTTTTAGCAGAGTGGAGTCACTAATGATCACGGAACCAGTCTTCCCCCTGGAATTTTGTATTCTAGAGAGGAACAAATAAAGTTCCTGAAAATGCTTGTTTTGCCTACACAAGTCTCATACCACTTAAAGGATTCATCCCAGGCTAGGAACACAGGATCAAAAAAAAGCCTGGCCTTTATAGCAGACTTGCAAATCAGTCACAGTAATTTATAAGCTCAGGTATAAATTTTCCTTCTTCCAATCATTTTTGTCACGATGCTAATGACAAACACTAACATTTTTAGTCCTGAGCAGAAACAAGCTCCTGTTGTGAACGGGCAAGGAGAACGAGTCAAGCACACCTGTGGTACTCTGCAAATAATAAACAGCAAAGACAATAAAAATGGCAAGATTATTCTATAGCAAGCTCCGTCACTGACTCAAAGCAGGTCTTTAAACTTGCTCACAGTCCCTATCATAGATAAGCAGGCTTGTTTACAGCATGGCTAATAACACTTCCTTTCAAGTAGTACTTTAAAACCCTTGAATGAGAGATGTTTCAGCAAATGTCATTTGCTCATTGTATTCATCACCTAACAGTACAGTTGTGCACACTGATGCTGATTGAGGGACAGCCAGAAGAGAAATCGCAGTAGGAGCTGCACTGATCATGTTAGAGATGGTCTGGCAGGAGACCGGGGACTAGAGTAACAGAGGCTGCAGTGGTTCAGAAATGAAGAAGCTGACCAGATTTGTATGAAGAATTTTCCTCTAAACCTTCCACATTGTGTCTGAACTTGTCCAATTCTGGTAATTCCTGATTTTCAGGAATTTTAAAATATAAATGTTTAACACAGAGTTGGATAGAAAATAATAATAATAAAAAAATAATTTAAAATTACAAACAAAAATCAAATCAAAGAAAAATTCCTGTATGGGAATTAAGCAAGGGGATAGAGAAAGGGAGAAGGAATCTTTTTATAAAATTAAACTTTTTTTTTTCACCTCTCTCAGTGAAAGCTTGATCTCCTCTCTCCTGGATCCTGCTAAACAGCTCTCCTCCCTCCATGCTGAAACAAAGAACAGAAAAACGCCCCACCTTTCATGAGCAGAAAAGATCAAATTAACACCTGAGTGTGCATCCATATAATCACGCAGAACAATGGCAGGAACAAATTAGAAAATATTACAGGCCTCCTATACCAATGCTTCCTAAACATCACACTCATTTGAATCAATGCACAAAGCCATTCTGATATGGAACAGACAGAAAACAAAACCAGACTAAGGAGTTTTGATGCTTTCAGTTTAATGTACCCTATCACAAGGAACATGACACACATCGTTGGGAAGTCAGATACACTGGCACTGGGAGGCTGACAGTAATCTTGTTTTACTTGAAGGAGGTTGGAGATGAAGAAGAAAGAAAGAGGGAAGCAAAGATACTGAAAAGAAATATTAATTTATCCCCAGTGAAGAAGACAATAACTGTGGTATTACTGATCAAAAAGAGAATAGGAAAAGTTAGAGTCAAAATAGTAGCAAAAAGGATCATGTCAGATTATAGGATTTACATCTGAAGTTGGAAGCCAATCACAATCAAAGTGCATCATATCTGTAGAGACATATCTTTCAAGATTGTATTAATTAGTCAATGCCTTAATGAGGACAAATGTCATAGAGTACAAGGAAAATTTATTTTCTGGTTAAGGTTCCTCATTCTTCCATCACACAAGATGGCTGGAGCACCTCTACGTTTCCCTACCAGGCCCACAAAGACAACAAAAGGTCTGCTGCGCAAACTAAAATCGTGCTGCTGAGAAAGCTCACCTAACTGTCATCTAAGCCAACACATTCTCCCACTCCCTCCACCCTCTCAAAGAGCAACGCTTGGTGGGGGGCTGCTGCTGGTCCATACCATTCCATGACAATGAGGAGGCATCTCTTTCCATGATGTATATTCTCATAAACATCCAGGACATGGACAATGTGGGGACACCCTGATGCTCGCCAATGATATTCTACTTCCTGACGGGCTTTTGGGTTGTCATACAGGAGCTGTGAAGAAATAGGAGAGAGCAATGTCAGTGAGCCAGCATCACTCTGCTTTAAATTGGCACCTACATGCATTTGAGCTCAAAGATGGTGGCAAAGGCTGCTCTCAGCACCTTCTCCAGACAAAGGATGCCAATCCATCACAAGACTTTCACCATCTCTGGGCTGTCCAACTTCCTAGATTGAGGAATATAGAAACAACTGGTCCCTTGGAACTGGGAGGACCTCAAGTGGCAGTAAGAAGAGATTTTGCATCTGAGATGGAGGCAGACCTATCTTGCCCATCTCTGGCTGGGAAACAGCATTTTTTTCCTACTTGTTTGCAGCACTTGGAAACACAGGAGAACCCCTCTGCTAAGGACAATAACCCTCCCACCTGCCCCCCAGCTGCTGGGAGAAGAGACTTTTAGGTGCAACGCAAATCCTTAGAGTTCAGTGAGATTTAAAACAATAAGGACTTTCGCACTGACTGTGAATGTGCTGCTTAAATGCTACACAAATTTCTGACTCCATCAGGGTCAGAAAGGGACCTTTGACTATCCAGATGCTTGAACTTCTTTCTCTGTCACATGCAAGGCCAGTTTATTTTAAAGGCGCTAATCTCTAGAAGGGAGGTAAGAGCTCATCTTTCCTAATACTGCAACCTTGCACACAAGAAACATGCCCCTTCCCATGTGAAGAACTGCTCTGTATCAGACTCTGCAACCGAGCTTTCGTGCAACAAGGGCGCATTGCTGAATCGTGCCTTTTCTTCTCTGCCTCGTCTCTCTAGACTTTGTGACAGAGGCTCTCTCTTTACTGCACGTTTACGCAGCTCCTACACAACACGGCTGTGATCTGAGTTTGATACTTTATGCCCTATAGTAATAATCACTGTAATGATGGAGCAGCGACAGTACTGATGCTATGTAAAGCATTGTCAAATGCATTGAAACAGAACAAAAAACAAGCAAAGAGCAACCACCTCTGACCTGTTTGCCTTAGAAAAGGACAACAGCAACTGTGGGGGAACTTTTTCCAAACAGGCAAACAAGAAGTATCACTGCTGCACTACTAGGCCTCAGCCTGAAGCTCTCCCCATTCATGTTTGCTATCAGGTGCCCGTCAAAACACAACTGCACGATAATTGCCGAAGACAAGTATTAACATGTAACCTGTCATTAGGGAACTGTGAATCAGCCCAGGAAAATGAGATTGCTTTCCATTCAATTGCCAAGCTAAGGCACAAATGGTGTCACAGGCACCTCTCAATATAGGGAAACACATGATTTAAAGGTCATAGGAAGGAACATACAAATTCTGATTCCTTTATTGACTCCAATATAGACAGTTTGCATCACTGGGGAAAAAAGCTCACACTTCTTTGCTGCTTCAACATCTCTTTCAGCAAAGCAGACAGAGTAACATGGCAGGAGAGGCCTGTAACAGTTTATGAAATGCTGGGGAAGCGCTCAGGAACTACTGGATAGAAGGTAAGAGGCTTCTCTTCTTTTCCAGGCTGGGAACAGGAAAAGGGTGACAAGCATTCCTCTGCCAAGTGCACATTTTTATATTTTTGTGAAGCACAGAGGGGTTGCAGGAGGGGACGAGCGGCCTCAGGAGGGCTGCTGGCTCCTTAGCCAAACAGGCAGCCAGTCTCAACATGGTGACCACCCTCCAGGCTCCCTCAGCTCTTCCAAAGGCTCCAGCATGACACCAGGTTTTCAGCAGTGCAAAGAGCTGAAGGAGCTTTCTTGCCAAGTTCAATGCCCTCGCAGCCAACCTACTTCTTCCACAGCTGTCGTTCTGCACCCAGAGCACACCCTTTTGAGATCACTAGCTATCCGCCTCTTCCTTCCTGCTCCAGCCTGGCTATGGCCTGATTTCCGACACAAATAACTTCCTAAAGAAAGAGATGGCTCCAATTTGGACAAAAAGCCCATTAGTGAGTCCAAGTGCAGTTGCTTTACTTTTCAGCCATCAGCCCATTCAGTAGCTTTTCCTTCACAGCCACTGTGTCCTAGCTCAGTAGGATTGTCTATCAGCATTTTCCCCTCTGCCCTTCTGAGTTTGGGCTGTTGCCTAGAGGTCTGTTTAAAAGTTCATTAAATGACGTGTGCAACAACAAAGCCCAAACACCCTCAGGACTAACCAGGCCGTTTAGAAACGCATTACAGGGTTTACTGCTCCGATATTACTGGATTAATGCCACTTCTGAGCAGGACGCTTCAGAAACCTCCTCACCTATCCTGTGCTACTAATTAGACATAACCATTCTCTTTACTAATGTCAACTGCACTATAATCTGTGTATCTGGTGCTTGCACAGCATGCAGAGATGCTGTTTTTCATGTTTGTACCAAATGCTTATGAAAATTGTTTCACAGAATTGAATTCTCACTCTCTAAAGAGCTTTTACAAGGCGTTTTGATACACACAAGGATGCTGCAGTTTCTTTTCTCCACCCCTGCTAAGTTTCATATATTCCTCAGTGCCAAGCTTGAATGTACTCATGTCAAGATGACACCTGGAGAAGCAGAGAAAAGTAAATGCAAAAATAAAGAGCAGATACACATACCAAGCAACATCTGATACATCAACCAACTGTTAACCTTTGGATTTCTCCTTCTGAGCCTTAAAAATAAATTAAATCTTTTCCTTATGTCTGAAACTGGAAGCCATAACTATGCCTTTTAAGGCATCCTAGAGACGCAGACACCTGTAACAGGAAAGCCAGGCAGAGCTGAAAGCACCAATTTCTGCAAAACATAGGTGATGATTTAGAAACACTGACTGAAATTCTAGCCCTATGGTTAAATTCAACAAAGTTGCAAAAAAAATAAATGGACATTGTGCCATCTTCCTTAGCCTGAAGAGAGACTGTCCTTCTATTGCTGCAATAGCTTTGATAAGACTATGACTGGGTTCCCCTGACGTTCTGCAAAAGTGCAGAGGTAGTTGTGAACAAACCCAGAGTTTCAGGTAGGTTTTCCAGCACTGCTGGTTCACACTGGTTTGAGGAAAGAGCAGCTTTGTCAAACAGTATCAGCTCCAAGAGCCCCCAGTCATTCCCCTGGAGTTCCCACACAGTTCAGCTGAGTCACAGCTTGTCACGATGGGCTGTGGGCAGGATCATGAACCAACCTAACTTCAAAACAAGACAAACCCAAGAAACATGCCCCATCTCGCAACTTTTCATGAAGCCAGATCCAGTGCAATCCAGTGCACAACGCACAGCAGCCTTTGCGCAACAGAGGGGATGCCCACGTGCATGGTCAGGCAACACAGTTTGGAACGGGAGCTGCGCAGTAGGAAACTGCACTTATACTGGAGCTCAGCACTACCAAATCACTGCCTGAAAGAAGCAGATGAAGCAAGAATTAACAGCTATTCACAGAGAGATCAGTGAAAACCGAGGCGACAGAAGGCAAGAAAGTACAAGAGCGCTACAGTCCTAAGCCCTAGCGATTCACCTAACTCTTGTCAATATCTGCAAAAGCTGGAGAGGGAAGGGAGCTGCACCAGCGGGTGTGCTCGGCCTGTTTCAGAGGAGTAACAGGGCAGATGTCAGCAGATACTCCAGGTTCCCCTGCTAATTCAGGGCCTGGCAGTGGAGGGAAGTCTGAACTCTAAATTCTGGGGTAATGGTCTAGCTCAGGTTGGCAAGCACCTGCAAAACAAAACAAATTCTCAACTGCAGCTTTTAAGGCCAGCCCTGTGAAATTTCTCCCTGTGCAGAATATCGTGGCAGAAAAAAAGGGGAGACTGAAAAGTGACACAGTATCTTCTAATTGCTTTTCCATTGATTCAGAGTTGTGTAAGCAAGGAAGGATAGCAGGAACCCTCATACCTTAATGGTCTGATCTATACAGGAAATAGCCTTCTAAGGACTCCAGGGAGCAGCAAGTGATTTTCTGGACTCTGAAATTGTAACAACAGAGAGAGAGAAGATATCCATGGGCGCAGGTATGAAACAGGCTGAGGACAGGAAGCAATGACTTCTTTGTGACTTTAACACGCACTAGCAGATTACACAGGTTACTATTACTGCTGTTTCCTACATAAGGGATTAAGACCCCCACATATGCTTTTTTAAATTTATTTTAAACTTCAGCAATTCCTCCTAGTTTCAAACAGTTGTGGTGCTTGGATCACATCTTGGAGCACATCCAATGCTGCACCTTTTACTTACTTGCACCAATTCCAGAATCTGAACTCTTCTTCAATAATCAGTTTTATAATCTGTACACTATTTTCCTCACAGGAAGGCTTCCCATTATTAAACCAGAAATGAGACCAGCAGAAACTTTCAGTCCTAGAGGTCCTCAACATGTAATACTGATATACAAGTACTTAAATATAGCTTTGTTTATTTTCCTAGCTGGGGAAAAAAAAGTCTCTGCTCAGGCATAAGTGGGTAAATGTCTAACTTCTTTTGCTTTCTTCCCCTCTTCCTTGTAGCTGTTACAAAAATGCCGAATCCTACAAATAAGCCTTGGAATCTAAATTCACACTGATGCACAGAAACTAACACCGTTTGCTGCAGAGCAGCTCTTCCAGTCGTTCTTTATTCAAGAGGGGTTGGTGGCAAAAAGAGGCTTGGATAATGTTCCTTTCATCTCCTCCCTCCCCTATGCTACAAAAAGACGGGGGGGTGTGGGGGGGGCGTGGTAGAAAAAAGAGCTATCACTATGGCTTTGGACATTTTGTCTTTTTATTACATCCTGATTATTTGCAGTACATCTATTAATTCAATGTTAACAATCTTTATCTGTTTCCAGATCTCTTCATAAGGGATAAAGCCATCCTCTGTGTTAGAACGCTACAGGAATTGAAATTATCAAGGTTTTCTTCTTCACGCGTCAGCACTGCCAGTCAGTCGAGCTGCAGCAAGAAGCATGTGGCTTTTTGCAACGGCAGCCCAGCGAGCAGGCGCATCCACACATGCAAATCTCAAAGAAGGCATTGAATTTTTTTCTTAAAATGAAAAAAATAGAAAACATTTCTGCTCAAATTGCTTACTAC